GGCCTTCTTTGCCCCATTCCACCTGTCTTCTAGCAGACAGATCCCATCCGCTTTCTTCTTGGCCTGGGGCTCCAGCAGGCCTGGGGCTCCAGCAGGCCTGGGCCCTCACAGCAACAGCCCAAATGGTGAGGCGATAGGCACAGCCGCAGTCCCAACTGATGTCTCTGGGCCCTACACCAGCAACCACCTCAGGGTCTCACAGCAGCTGGCTGCACTTCCTTTATGTGTCAGTGTGGGGCAGCAGGCTCATGGCACCCACAGTCTCCTCAGGGCTTCTCCTCCTGAGGGTGAGTAGGCAGACAACTCCCTTGTAATCCCTGCCAGCGCTCATCCCATGGACTCGTCCTCCACAGAGCTGGGGGATGTGCTCACCTTCCTACCCACTCCCTGCCATGCTGGCTTTGGCCTCCAGCCTGGAGCTGCCCTCTCTGATGGCTCTCGCCTCATTTCTACCATGTCAGCCTGGGAGAATGAGGAAGCCTTGAGAATCTCACTGGGGTGAGAATATTGATTGGATGGGCACATGACACAGTAGATTGGCATCATAGTTTGTCTACCTCCACCCCAGATTTCTAAGGGAAGAGGATAGCTAAGACAAGTGTGACCTGTCTAAGCAGGTTGTTAACAGTCTCTGTCTCCAAAAAACTCTTCCCAAGTACCAAGAAGAGAGCCAAGCATGTGCCTCCGGTACAGCATCCAGTCACTCTCACCTGACAGCTGTGCAGGAGGATGTGCTTCATACTTCAGAATGGATTAGATTTTTCCACTGGGCACATGCAAAAATACTATTGATGATGGCTCAGTGAAAAAAATTTAAGACCTGATAGAAGCATGCAACTAAAAGGGGCACACCACGTTTCTTCTGGCCTCCATTTATAGGCTGGAGATATGCTGCTGAGGTAGAACCTCCATGTATACATCCCAAGATTTTAGGTCCACCTGCAAGGTTCAAAATTTGTATGACTAGTTCCTGAGATCAGAAAGAATCTGCTAAGTCATTTCACACATTTCCAATAAATTGCGCATCTTCTTAATGAAATGCAGTTTGCCCTTTTCCTTCTCTACAGGGTTACCTCAAAAAGTCTCACAAAAAAGAAAAACCGCATTTGACAGAGGCACAGACCATTCTGTCCTGCACTCTTTTCTAATAGAGAAGGTCCCTCATACTCTGCTGTTGCTGATACGTGCTAAGGATTTCACAATAACTTGTGCATTGTATGTTGAGTGTGATTTTAAAGTGCCTCTAAAACCCGTTCTACGTGGAAATACACAGTTCGATTAGTGGGAACATGGAAGCAGATAATTCCTTGCTACTGGCAGCTCGGTACATACTGTATATGTGGATCTAATTTCCCATACTAAGCCTATTAACAAAAATAAACTCACTGATATAAAGAAAAGCTTCATGAATAGAACAGTTAAAATTTTTTTACTAAATACTTTCTTGTAACAGCCTCTGTTGTGTGGTATTATACTTACACTCCCAATGTTACTTTCTGTCCTAAGGTTGACACTTCAGTATTTCTTAAGAATGGTGGTGTGGCAAGGAGGGAGACTACTATGAGTTATCAGTATCCTCAAGTCTTTGCGAGGAGGAATATGGTATAGCAGGAATTTCTTCCTAGTTGATCTTGTGTTTGCTTGGTGTCCTCATTTTGGCTGTGACAGAGTTAATTTTCTTCATAGTAGCTAGTAAGATGCTATGTTTTGGATCCGTGCTGAGAAGAATGCTGATATTTTGTTGGAAAACACTGTGTTCCTTCCTGTTCAATGCCTCTTCAGCTTGCCTTATCACTAGCTTGAAAAACACAGGTCCCAGCACAAATAACTTTTCTCATTCATTCTGTGTCTTTAAGGATTACTCATCTGAGTGAGAAGCTTAGAATTTGTCATTGACTAAAGTAACATACGAGGGATAAGAGCTAAGTACTAGGTGACAAAAGCTCTACCATAATGTAGCTACACAAAGGTTATAAGGAAAAACTGTGCCCAAAAGCTAATGTTGACACAGATCTAACCAGTAAAAAGAGAAACAAATTAAAACCAGTGCTCATGGTGCATATGCAAAGGAATCTATTCTTTACTCGCTACATATGGAGGTGGTTGCAAACGTAAAATATAGAAGAAGGTGACCAAGAGGTTGACACTTTGTGCATCCCTCAGGTCACTTTGCTGCCTCATGACATCCTCACTCTTCCTCTTCTATCTTCTTGCCATGAAACTCTCGGCTCTTCACTCGGAGCTTGTTGACCTGCGACTCCGCAATGTCAGCCCGCTCCTCAGCTTCCTCCAGCTCGTGCTGGATCTTGCGGAACTTGGAGAGGTTGACATTGGACAGCTCCTCCTGTGCGGGGAGAGGGAGGCAGCGGTGAGGAACCCAGGGCAGGGCTTTCACTCATCCTGCACCTTGGCCTTGTGGGGCTGTGGCTCTTCCCTGGAAAAGGCACAAACCTCCACCCCCACCCACTACTGCTTACATCTAAGCCTTACACAGACCTCCCAACCCCACTGTGACAAGGTTCAACAGTACCATGTCACTCTTGAGGAGCTGTTCTTTCACTTGGATTTGTAATTTGTGTACTTATTCTCCCACTACTTCCTGCCCAACTATCAGTGTGATTTATTAGGTTGAGAAAGACCTGAAACCCTCTGCTGTTGATTACAAGTGTCCTGGTTTCAGATAGGACAAAGTTTACTTTCTTCACACTAGCTAGTAAGACGATACGATTTGAATCTGTGCTGAGAAGGCGGATGATAACATACTGGTATTTATGGTTGCTGCCAGGACAGTAAAGGACTTTTCAGCTTCTTTGCTATGCCAGTGTCTGCAGCTAAAGGAGAAATTCTTAGAGGCAGCAGAGCCCCAATTACTAGTTTAGGATTCAACATTAGGTTTAGGATTGAGACCCAAATTGACCAGTGATATATTCCATATAATTTAAGTCACGTACAGTATATAGATGAGTCTCTGTCTTGAAGTTCTCTCTCTCTCCCCACATTTTGCTCTTCCACCAGATAACCCCTCTAGGGATTGACTCACTATCTCAGTTGGTTCTCATTGACTCTCGGTCTCTCAGACACTGACGCTATTATCTCTTTTCCAAGACTGTGGTTTTGGAACTCTCCTTCCTCTGGGATTAGTAGCCAGGAATGGCCTGAGCCTTGGTAATTGGCTGCTGAGCAGTTTCACATTGTATCACTCATATGTATATATTACGGTTATCATTATTATTTTCAATATTGTTGCAGTTTAGTTAAAAAATTGTTCTTATCACAACCTACAACTCTCTTTTCCCTTTACTCCACTAGCTGGGTTTAAAACCACAACACTAGCAGAGATCCATGAACTTCGCAGTCACTAGATGTGGCCTCTGGATTTGTTTAATCTGACCTCCTGTATAAAACAGGCTGCAGAACTTCCCTCAGTTCATCCCTGACTGCAGGGTGCCCAGATCTCAGCAAGACCTCACGACAACATTCTAAAGAGTGAGGCCAAGAATGCTGTGTCTTGGGAGTTTCCTTCATGCTCCTTTCCTAGTATTCATACTCATCTCAATGATCATGCTGCCCTCAATCAAAGGGGGATCTTGCCCATTCTCCGAACACTACTTACAGCCTCCTCAGCCTGTCTCTTGTAGGATTTCACTTTCATTTGCAGCTTGTCCACCAGATCCTGGAGCCTGAGAACATTCTTCCGGTCTTCCTCAGACTAAAGCAGTTGGCAAACAAGAAAGAGTAGAAGTTATTGGTTTCCCGCCATGTGAGGTTAACAATTCCTCTTGGGGAAGGTGTGCGCAAAACTTGATTTGCTGTGAGAAGGCTCTGTCAGCCCACGGAGGCCTCCTGCC